GCCTAGACAGTAGCGTGCTGAGCTTGCTAGGTTGACTCTCTTGAGACTGTCCCCAAGACCCGGGTGATTGCCAATAAAGCATTCCGGTAAAGCTGAAATGCAGAAGAATGCAGAGAACAAGAAAACAGAAGTCCCATGTAAAAGCATAGTGATTTCCGTTTTCTTCTTCCTCGCATTCTTCTGCATTTTAGCTTTACCGGAATGCTTTATCGCCTCGCCCTCAACTTGGCAACATTAGCAACCTGGCAACACTGGCGACCCATCCCCCCCTGCCTCCCCCTCCCCCCTCACCACGTCGCTCCTCCCCCGTCCCGGACGGGCCGTCCGTGTCCCGTCGGCCCGTCGCCCGGCCGGCAGCAGGAGACAATGGGTAGGGACCCCTAGCTCCCTCCGGCGGTCGTGTTACAGGCCGAAGTAAACTTACAGTAAGATAAAAACTGGCTGAATAACTTTTAAAGAGACCTAGATTTTCTTGTAGGGCAAAGATACAGGTTCTGTTGGTCGTAGGCCAAAAGCCAATTCAATCAATGAAATTTTATGGAAAGACCTTGTAAAAACAGTCTTTCGGGACTCGCCGCTTTCGGCCAGGCTCGGGACGAAGAGCTCGGCGGGGCTAGGGTGGGGGCTGGTGGAGGGGAACGGTGCGGTAGGGGCAATAGCAGACGATGCAGGCCCTCGACGGGACCGCTACTATTTTTCAACTTTTAAGCATTTTTCCGTCTCGTTGAAGTAAAAGGATCCGATCTCGGAGAGTGAAACTTAACCATTGACTCGATTGATACCACAAGTCCTCTCGAAGTCCTTTAATTTTCTGATAGTTCGTAAGTTCCTGTCTGAGCGGTCTCTCTCAGGGGTTATGGTTATGTTTGTTGACAAAGGTTTATGTTCACATAATACCACAAAAACAGTACGGAAACCCCAAACCACGAAAGGAAGAAAATCCTGCACTGCTCAGAGAGAAAATATGATAGAAAATTGACTATATTGTAAGTAAAACATCAATCCACGCAAGTTGTTGTTCACTTAGACGGCGGTGCGACTTTGGCGCGGAGGCTCGCCGGCAGCTCGGGCGGAGCATCACGTCCCTACCCTCATTGTCTCCTGCCGGCAGTCAGTTGTTCAGTCAGTCGGGGTCCCGAAGAGAAGAGCTGAGCTAAGAGCAGAGCGGCCGCCGACACCTGACACCTCAGACCTCACCAGTCCAGTCAAGCAACAGTGCACTCAAACGCTCCCACGTAGCTCAGTCGAACAGTCAGCCAGATGAACGAACTCAACAGAGCAGCTACAAGGTAGGCTTCGCAGTGTGTGTGCTAGATGCTGGGTCTCTCTAGTTAGCACCGGTGGTGCGTGCGTGCGTGCATGCGGACGGGCGCGCCTATGGGTGTTATGGTGGCCATTTACCGCTCTAAACGCCTCTGAAGTTCAGCGACACATAGATTTTTGGAAAGGAAACAGTACAAGAAGTATTATTTTGTCATAATACTTGTATTTATGTTTCACATGTTCGATGAGACAGACTTTCAAACGTCGACGTTGGCCCCGAGCGGGTGAGGTTATTTTCAGATCAACTTTTCCACTATTTAGATACGTTTAAGTCGGTAACAAAGAGCGGGCCGATTATTCGCTTGACATTGTGGTTTACATTGCTGTTTTCAGATTTGAGATACGAGGTACGGGTTCTCGAGAAAACTTCATTTTTCGCTCAACGCTCGCCCGAAATGCCTCGGCTCGGATCGGCCCGGGCTCTGCCGCTGTCGGCTGGTAGGGTTGGGTCGTCCTGAACGCTTGGCGAAAAATGAAGTCTTTTGAGAACCCGACGTCGTATCTCAAATCTGAAAACAGCAATGTAAGCTTAAAAGTAGAGCGAATAATCGGCCCGCTTTATGTTACGGACTTAAACGTATCTAAATAGTGGAAAAGTTGATCTGAAAATAACCTCACCCGCTCGGGGCCAACGTCGACGTTTGAACGTCTGTCTCATCGAACATGTGAAACATAAATACAAGTATTACGTCAAAATGATACTTCTTGTACTGTTTCCTTTCCAAAAATCTATGTGTCGGTGAACTTCAGAGGCGTTTAGAGCGGTAAATGGCCATCATCACATCCAGGCGCGCCCGTCCGCACGCACGTACGCACCGGTAGAGAGACCCGCTGTTTCGCCCCCCGCGCAAGCGAGAAGCGAGCTGACCGCGAGGCGAGGAGCTCTGCCCTACAGTGTCGGCACCATCGTGTTTGCAGCATGTCCCTGACCGTGGAGCAGCTGCTCCCGGACGACGTGCTGCTGGAGGTGATGCAGTACCTGTCGGTGGAGGACGTCTTCGCCTGTCGCCTCGTGTGCAAGAGGCTCGAGGCCTTGGCGCGGGACCCCACCGTGTGGTGCCACCGCCGGATCGACATGCACCGCCCGCGCGCGGTGCTGCGCCTGGCGCCGTGCCTGGGCGCGATTGTGTGCAAGGCCCACCACGAAAGCGGATTTCAGGGGGATCCAGATCCAGCGTTCGAGGCGACCAAGTGCGCAGTGACGTCTCTAAACTTCGAGTTAACCGCCGAATACGTAGACATGTTAAGAAGCGACGAAGATTTCCGCAGCAGGTTGACGTACTTCGCCCGAGTGGTGCGCAATCAGGTAACTCTGGGACGCCTGAAGCACGTGACCGTGCAGATTAGGCAGCTCTGTGGCGGCTACTTCCTTTGGCTGACATTTAGTTCACCACGAGGTGCTGCTGACGCGTTGTTGGACGCGTTGGCGCAGTCCTCTTGCCTGCAGTCTCTCCGCTTTCTGGGTTGGGTTCCCTCTGCAACCCGCCCCTTGCAGCGTGTATCGTCCAAGTCGTCCTTGCTGCTCTTCGAGTGCTGGCTTTCAAAGAAGTCCGAGTCGTTTGTAAAGGCCATGCTGACGGCTCACGCCGATACGCTGGAGGAAGTCAGCCTTTTCGATAGAGGAAGGGAAATGGGAAGCTGGGGCTCCAACGACGTCGTCGCCAGCCCGGAGATAACTGAGCTGCTGGCTCGCATGCCCAGACTCCAACGTCTGAAGTACGATAGACTTTCTCCGATTGACGCATTGGCCGCGTGTAAGACTCTGAAGGACGTGACCCTGTCTAAAACATCGTCCGGGTATAACGCCGCTGACCCACCCCTGAGTAAAACTCTGAAGTTCCTCAGTGAAGCCAACCAGCTGCGCTCCCTGACCATCCACCCGTGTTATGACGACAACTGCGAGGAGCTGATGGAAGCCGCCCTGGTGTCGTCCGCACTGTCCCTGGAGCGCCTGTTTATAAGTGGAGACCAGTCGTGTGGCGCCACTTCGGATTCGTATGCGCATATGAAAAAAGTGCAACAACTTCTGATCCGAACACTGCCCCGGCTTCCCGCGCTGCGACAGCTAACCTGGAATCCGGAGAGGCTCTTTCAATGCGACGAGCTATTGCTGGCCATCACGCCCCTCTCAGCCCCTGCCCTGCGCAGGCTCGAGCTGATCTCTACGATAGACAACGACAGACGTGGCTCTGAATGCGATCACCGTTGGCTACACAGTGCCGCTGTCAGGGCGACCCTCGCAGCAATCCCCTGCTGCACATCCATCTGCGGAACCCACAGGCTTGTATTAATTATTGCGATTCGTGTGCAACGCTCTGCCATCTCGAGGCGGGATGGAATTTCCCCGGCCGGCTTGTCCTCTTCGCGCATGAGCCTAGCAAGTGTCCCGCATCAGAGGACCACACTGCAGGAGGCCGCGAGTGGAGGAGCATCCACATGCCTTGAAAACGACTGCAGTAGTTTACTCCCTTTGGTGGCTAAGTGTTTTTATATTGCCAGTATTTGTACCGTGCCATATGTCATGCATGGACCATTGTCAAAAATATGCCAAGTGAACAATTTTGCGTAGTGTTTGGAACGTTTCTTTCATTTTTTTTCTGTTCAAGTAAAATAAAATGTTCAACTTGTAGTGCAAATATGTTTTTATTTTCACGAGTGGGTTGCACCTGTTTCACTTTTCTGAAAGGACAGTCTGCACAGTAGTTCAAAATACTTTTTTTTTTCACCTTCAGAAATTTGTTGCCGGCACCCAATGGAACGAGTAGGTAGCTAGTCGAGTACGTTGGGTAATTGTTTCATCCTCGTCCACCCCCTCAGCGCCGCCGCCACCACCACACCATCGCCACCTCGGGGTGTGCCGGGCTGGCGTCGGCCGCTCGCGTGTAAGAGGCGGGGTAGGGGGGCTGTTCGGGGAGGATTCAAAACAAACATCCCTGACCACGCCCCCTCCCCTTTCCCCTGAGAAAACTTAGCGTAAACGAATTGCGCGCCCGGGGCGCTGGGCTCCTCCGAGCTCCTCGTCACCGATAACAATGTAGAGTCCCCCCCGCCCCAGTGCCGTCACGTGACGATGTCCTCCGGGGGGTATACGGGAAAACCAGGCGTCGGTCGAGTCGGCACTCCCCGAGTGGCAGACTCTTTACGGTGACAGCGAGAGGGGGTAGTGAAAACGAAATGGGCCTCGCAGTGAGGTGGGGCGGCCGCGGCCGGGACATCAGCACCTCCCTCCCCCCCAAGTCGTCGCGAGCAACCGGCGTCAGCTCTGCGGGGGAAGTCCGAGAAGTGGGGTCGGCTACGCGACGGACGGTGGTGGTGGTGGTGTGGGGTATGGACGTGATGTCGCCCGTGTCCGCGCCCGTGTCCGTGTCGCCGCGGGAGTGACGTCCTGTTGTTGGCGGGCAGGAAGCGGCTAGTAGTGGTGGTGCCCCCCCCCCCCACCTTTCCCCACATCGTGAGGTGCAGCAGAGGGCCGGTGCACTGCATACCTCCTCGGCGGCGGGGCGCGGCTTTTGAGCGGCGATGAAGCAATCTGCGGCCTTGGCGCCCACCTCCTCCCCCTCCGCACCTGCACCCCTCGAGTGCTTGTCGGCGGCGAGGGGTGGGGGGTGGCCACCACCAGGAGCACTTATCCGATCAAAAGCACCCCCTCCCCTCCCCACCCCGCGGTATGGCAACAGTGCAGCGACTCGACTTAACGAGGCGCCGCGCGACCAGCCGCGGGGGGAGGGGGGGGGGGCTGCCGTGACTGCGTCCAGGCGAAAGGGACAATAAGTCCCCGATTCTTCTCGTAAAGCACCTTGAGCAGCTCCATTATTTAATGCTGATGGTTCGGAGAAGCCTGATGCTGAATAAATTGCTGCTGCGGCGTCACTCCCACCACCGGCAAGAGGGTTGCGGTTGCGGAGGAGGAAGGGGCACATTGGCGTGAGAGCGCCCATCGGAAGTAATTTACCGAACGAACGAAACCTCGGCGCGGTCTCGGCGGCGGCCTGACTGCGCCTGTGCGGCCCGAGAGCTCCCCTTTGCCTCTCATCAACCACCACCCCCTCAACCACAAAATCCACCTGGACAAGCTCCCTGGCTGTGCTCGTACCCGCACCACCTGCACGGCGGCCTGACTGCGCCCGTGAGTCCCGAGAGCTCCCCTTTGCCCCTCATCAACCACCACCCCCTCAACCACAACATCCACCTGTACAAGCTCCCTGGCTGTGCTCGTACCCGCACCACCTGCACCTCATCAACTGCCGACACACCTCAACCACAAAATCTACCACCTGGACCTATGGCCAGCTCTCTAGTCGCGGTCACACTAACGCGTGGAACCTGATGACATGGATTCAAATAGCAAGTGGCGGGAAAATCCGACCTTGAACGCGACACCCCGTGGAGTCCGATATTGAGATGGCACCCAGGTGCAAAGCTAGACGACGGTCACGACACACCGGCCCCGCCGCACCCTGCTGCTGGGTCAAGAGGCACTTGCAGGCTGCAGTCCACCCCCGGCGTTATGGCGAGGCCCGACGACTGCCGTAAAAGTTTATATCATTTCGAGCAGAAGGTAAATCTCTGCTCTGGACTACTTTTTCTCTTTTTCGTCCGAGAAAAATGGAGAGGGGAGCGAGAACCAGCTGCGGACATGCACGAGGGTAACAATAAATGGAAATAATGGAACACCGAAATCAAGAAATGTTGGTCTTAAGAAGGGGTTGGAAGAAGTCTTATTAGTGCTGGTCAGTTGAAATACTTTAGTGCACAGTAGTCGTAGCAGGTGGTACAGTTTGAAATTTTATCCTAATTTTTGAAATTCCAAACAAACACGAATGTCGAATTCCAACCCCTCTTTCTTGGAGGGGCACTCGAGACGCAGGTCGTCGGGTCTGTTGGACTTGAGACTTCTCAAGGTCCGAGCGCGCGCGCCCCCCAAGCACAGGGGGGGCCACGCAATACCGAGCACCCCCTCGCGCGCCCACGACCACCACCAGCGTCCCTGAGGGGGCCGTGCACGCGTGCGGCCTAAATAAACGCACCACTTTTGAGGGAGCGGGGCCGAGGGGGGTTGTGGTGGGCGACGGGGGAAGGCGGCGGCGCTTACGAAAGGCGTGGCGTTGGTGGTCCTTGGGGCCTAAAGGGGGGCGCGGTGACGTCATGCAGGCCAGACGGGATGGGGCTTTGAGAGCTCGCTCGCCCTGGAGTAGGGCGGGGCAGAGAGCGGGGGAGCGCGACGAGCCCGTAATGTATTCACTAAGCTCCGCCGGAGCTAGAGGTTCGAGGCCGCGCCGCTGGAGCGCGCTGCTGGCTGTTGATGTAGGCCGAAATTAAAGACGTAATCTGCTGTATGAAAATATGTGGGTCAGGCCCGGCCTCCTCAGGCTCGGCCTACCGCCGCTTGCTCTTTGGGCTTTGCTGCCCGTGAGCGCCGCGCCCGGCCAGACGCACCTCAGTGTATTGAGGATAATGAGAATCGGCACCTTAACTACACTCGAGACAAATGCGTCGCTTAGTGTTGTGGGGGTTTCTTTTTGTTTCCCGTCACCTGATCTGTCAATTGAATATGTGTCCCTATGGTCCCTTCACCCCCTTCACCCTGGAGCCTGGAGCCGCCCAACGCCCCAGCGCCCCTGGCGGGGTCGGCCGAGGGCTAAGGTCGTTCATTGCCTCCGCCTCGACCGGCCTTGCACCCGCGGAGCATTGCACCGCTGGCCCTGCACCGGGGCGCGGCCGGGCGTGGCGGGGCGGGGTGGGCGGAGCATATTGTAGTCGTTACCTTCTCGGCCAGCAGCGGAGTGAACAGCGCTCAAGGCGGTGACCACGAACGCTAACTGACCTTCGCAGGAAGTTAAGGGCTAAACGCCACGCTACGCTACGCCGCGCTACGCCACGCCACGCCACGCCACCTGCCTTGTTAATTGCATACCACGCCTCGCTCAAAAAGGCCGCTCGGTCGCCATCAGGGGGGGACCGTCGCGGACCGCGAGACAGAGAGAAAGAGAGCGCGCCACGCGCCGCCACCGCTCGCTGGGCAGCAGGCGGCGACCAGCGCAACAGGACGGACAAAGTTCAAAGGGCGGCAGGAAGAGGGTCAGCGGGTCGGCCTGCCTGGACGACAACAAACAACAGGAGTGTATAGAGAGACGCCCTCCAGAAGTAGGGTAGGGGTGCGAGCTATAGTTTTGGCCGCGGGCTGAACGAAAAAGGAAGGGGAAAAGGAAAAGCGGGCGCAGTTTGATTTCCGAAAGCTGTGAAATGATGGACAATACGTCCACCAATACGTAACATCTTAATTCGGTGAGGGTGGTTTGGTTGTCTCCTCGTCTCCTCCAGACGAAGGTCCGCCCCAGAGGCCCGGCCAGGCCATGGTTCGGGGACCGGGGTCGGGGCGCGGGTCCACTGCCCCGAGCGGGTCAGGGCTGGTCAGTGCACTGCAGACCATGGGGTGGGGCGTGGGTGAGGGGTGGGTCGAGGGTGGCCGTCGCCTTCGCCGCTATTCGGCATAGACTCGTATTTGCATGGGGAGGTTTCGGACTCCTCGCCTATCGCCTTGCCCTGGCAGCGGCGGCGGTTTCCGACTGACGGCGGCCTCGCCCAGCCAGTCCCGCTACTGTACTCCCACCCACACTAGAATGTGGCAGTGACGCCCGCATCTTGTCCACCGCTCCCCCTCCTACCCGGCACGTCTGGTGCCATAGATAGCATCTACACGGGGGGCGGGGGCGGGGCCTTCGTCTGGGACCCTCGCACATGAGTGGAGCTGACGCGAGCCGACGCGTCCGTCGCCTGGGCCCGGATGCACGCGATGCGGCGGCGGGGAGAACGCCCTAAGAGGCAGGCGTGCACCGCGCCGCCCCGCCCCTCCCCACCCCGCCGTCCCACCGGGCTGTGCCACCCCTATCGCCAGTCAGCCCTGAACCCTCTGAACCTCTATATTGCAGCAATGAATTACAAGTACAAGTTAATGCGAGAGGGGAAACACGGGGAAGAGGGGGGGGGGCGACAGGGCCGCTGGTTGAGGAGAAAAATGGCCGTGGGATGGGGGTAGAAATGTGGCCCGAATCACCTGGAATACACTGCAAATATTGCAACGTACCGAGCCGATCGGTGCCGACATGGAAAACCGACATTTTAAGGGGCTATTTTTGTTTTGTTTTACAATTATTAAAAAGTATCCGTGAGATTTTTTAGGGCCTGTTCATTATCAGGATTCATTTCAGCTACTGTGTATTTTACCCCCTTCAGCATAACCCTGTCCGTCCGGCCCGGCTCGCTCGACGCCAAGGTCGAAGCGACCCTCCGGACTCCGGACTGGCTTGGGCCGGGACGGGTCGACGCCAAAGTCTCGCGGGCGAGACCCCGACGTTGTTCGTGACACCCGGTCGGGGCGTGGCGGGGCCGTGCGGAGCCGAGGCCCGAGGCCTAGGCCCCGGCCGTGTTTTTACTCACGCCCCGCCCTGTAACGTAACGGCAGCGTCGGCCTCTGCTGCGCTCTGCTGGAGAGCGCCCGGGCGTGTAGGCAAACCTTCCGGGCTGAGCACATCGCTGTTGTGCTGGCGGCCCAGCCTGCGGCCGGCGGGCGCTCGCCGTAAGCCGACGGCCACGGTCAGGGCTCGGGGTGGCCGGCGGCCGGCGGCCGGC